TAATCTGGCAAAAAGAATAAGGCAAGAAAAATTCCATTGTGTGAATCGACGAACGATTTTTAAAAATCCGTTATAAAAAATCTTTTTTGTGTTTCTAATAATTCGAAGGAAAATATTACATTCGTATTCTTAGAACGCGCGTGTACCGTGTATGCAAATGGATGCAATTATTTAGGTCATATTCAAATGAATTTTGGTCGCGATTGCCGCATAAGAAACCGCCTTTCGCATCTAAGGACACCGCTCGAACACAGTCAAACGGTATATGAATGTTTCTAACGTTCCACGTGTCGCTTGCACACTTCGTTTAATTTGACGCCTCACACATTCAGAAGCGCTCATACGTGCAGCTCACAAGCACACTTTCTGATGATAACACTTGTAAATTCCGATTTGTACGTAATTCGTCTCTTTTTTTCCCCTCCCCCGCCCCCTCTTTCTCTCTCTCTCTCTCTCTCTCTCTCGATTTTAGCCCGAATATTTTCGTATCGCAGATACACGTGTTCCCATTTCGTGCTTGACACATTTCTTACGGCGAAAGATTTATGTACACGAATCTTATCTTTTCGCCTTGATACGTTATGCAACTCCCAACATTGAATCAGTATCAATATAAATGACGCGTTTATGCGCTCCATTTTATTCTTCTCGTCAATCTTAGATATTTAATTTTCTATAAAAATCGATTTTATTTGATATACTCGTAAATAAATTCTCCCTTTTAAATCTAAAACTGAGAGAATTTTGCGATATACGTATTTTAAAATATACGTTATAATTTAATCCATCGAGAAAAATAATTAAACGTCTACTACGTCACGTATGTCCACGTACATTATTTTTTCTCGCGAATCTTTCTTATCACAAGGAAAATATATAACGATCCTTTCTGTCCTTAATACAAATTCATCTCTCCAAGGGACTAAGCCACGATTAATCTCACTTACTCATCGAGAGATAATAAATATTTTACATACAAATAATGTTTCCTTGAAACAACAATATCCAGAAGAGAGAAAAAAAAAAAGTATTGTGAAATACAAACTACAAAATATTACACTAAATAACAAATATAAATAATTAATAAATAATTAATCTCTAATAAACTATAATATCTCAACTGGTTTCGATCGATCCTTACACCCAACATTCCAACCTCGATCCAAAAGTTCCTCCACAAGTTTTCCTCCGCAAGCTCGCAAGATACGCAACGTCGTCCCACACGCATCCGCACACGCATACACAATCGTTGCGTGCCAATACCCATCTACAACCATACCACGTGCCGATATAACATTTGAGCCAGTGTGCATCGTCTATGTACGGTCGAAGAAGACCGTGAAGAAGACTGTTAGATCTAACTGTAACCCAGACCTACTTTCGGCTTCCTTTGGACCTTCCCAACGATTACATATATCCGTGCAGCACATACTGTCGTATATACACATACACACACATCTATACGCGTTGCCCAACCGCACGATCTCCTCCTCTTTGGAGCATACTGAGCGCGTTGTTGTCCTCCCCCTTTCCTCTACCAAACTTCCTCGTCCTTGAACCCTTCCCACCCGACTCCCTTTTACGTTCTCACCCTCTCCTAGCCTCAGAGAACAGAGGACCACACTCCGGGCGACAAGGCATCGAGTTACCCTCTCCCTCCCTGTTTCTCCATCCAACTGGAGAAAAGAGCGAAGAGGGAAGAAGAGTGGTGGGCTTTTCGTCGACTTTCGCCCACCTTCCCTCAAACAACAACGGGCACAGGTCTCCATCCGGAGGAGACTGGAAAGGAAACTTTTCTTTTCCTTTCGTCCAAAGAGAACTGTTCCACTGGCACAGGCCACGTTACACCGTTGAACGTGAAATCAGGACACGCGCGTGTGGAGAAAGCGTTAGGAAAGGAGAATGGATAAGGGGGATAGGGTATAGCGTACCGTACAAAAATTTATATCTCGCGTTGGAGCATAAAATGTATAATCGGAAGTGTAATACTCTTATTTGGAGGGAGGGGGTCAACGGGGAGGGGGGCTTATCGCGCATCGCGTGGTGGAGCTTCAGCTATCCGGCGAATCAGGATCGAGACGAATTGCATGTGAAAAAGAAAATGGTTTATAGATCGATGAATGGAAATCTCTATTTCGATAGTTTTGAATCATTGTAAATGGATCATTTGTATATGGCATTTAACGTGAATTTTAAGTAGAAATTCTTAAATTTAGGTGCATCTTGAATATTAACGAGATTGTTAAAGATGTACAGAGTGTTGTTATATTCGTAAAACATATTTGCAAAAATTGGTGTATAAAAATTTATTAATCAGTCGAAACTTATTTATTAAAAGGCAGTAATAACTACGAATAAATGTTATTATTTTTTCAATGGATTAGAGGAAGCTAGAAAAATAGTATATATATATTAAAATATATATTAGCATCCTCTATATTGTTCCTAATATATTACAAAAAGAGAAAGTTTTTAATTAAAAAAAAAAAAAAAAAAAAAAAAAGAAACAGTTCGATATATACGATATAAAAGATAATATCTCATCGATTAAAACGATCGACTACGTTGATCAACAAATTATTGCCTTGCAAATTTTAATTTCATATATATACATATATATATATATACACAATCTTCGATTGTTCAATCGTCGTATCAACTTTCATCGATTACGTTATCCATTTCCAAGCGAAAGAAGACCGAGCACAGTTAGTCTCTGTTCGATCATGAAGAAGAAAAAAACAGCGCGTGGTGGGCCAAGTAACCAATTAAGCATGCGGTTCTACGGTCTTCGCGAGGGATAGTGATTAATCGATCGATACGAGTCGCTCACAACTTTCTCTACGTATTGCATTTCAACGTCGAAACATCGTTAGGTTATATCGAATCGAGCTGACACCAATATCCACGCATTCGTATTTTTATATTCAAAGATAGAATTCATAACGGTACGATAATATCGAGTGCAGTGTGTGTCGAACTAACGAAATATTTCATTTGGTTTTTTACTTATTCTTGTATCTTGTCGATCTAACGACGCTCGGCGACAAGAAGATAAGGAAAGCAAGAGAAAAACGCGAAAGAAACTCGTGCCACGAAAATTGCACATTCTTGTTTATCCAATGTGCGATAAAGCGACTAATATCTATCTTGTACACAGTATCTACCGTTATCGCTGTTGCTGATATGTCATACCAAATTTTACTGAAATCGTAAAAGCGTTTGTAAGCCTTCGCGTGTAAGTCATTGCACGCAATGAGTCAATCGTTTGTTTTTTACGAGAATTTTTTTATTTCATCGAGAATGTGAAAATATTAAGTGTATGCTTATTGAATATCACGTAACATGAAGATCACGTAAGAAAAATAAGAAAATATATCGAAAGTATATATAAGTTCTAACGTACATGGTGTTTTCTTTAAATCGAACGAGAGATCGAAGTTATCAAAAGAATGTTTTAACAAAAATTTCAAAGGGGAGCATTGTATGGTGGAATGAAGGAGATTCCATTTGTTATGTGGAATTATATAATTTTGAATTGCATTAATCGATTTAATTTGAAGTTTGTAAAACTTATCATGTGAAAGATAAGAAGCATAAAAAAGTATATCGCAATGCGTATTCCTTATTTTTCTTTGTATAAAAAATTTTTTATAAAATTCGAGTTACAATATTTTCTAATACGATTTTTTTATACGGAATACTCAAATAAATCGAAAATTACATATTTTATTTTGTGAAAAAATAATTCGTACACGATAAATCTATTTTGAATCAAACAACTTTTATTAAAATATTTTTTTGATAACTCCATATGAGATATTCTACCGTTTTAAAGAAATCCATATTCATACCTTTTTCCTCTGTATTAATGAAATAAGTTGCTCATTAAGGAATCATCGATCACAATGTGATTACCAACATTCGCTGCGCTACGATGTATAAACAATGAATTCAAATCGAGGTGAAAACATTGGAACAATGTCGAAGCACTATTACATAATCACCGTTATTCGCGACTTATTTTCGTATCACACAATTATGGCTGCAATAAACGCAATACGATAAAAAATTTTAACGCAATCATAACACTTTTTTATCTTTGGAGCAAACATAAAACACCTCCTCCTTCGTCTTCTTTTTTTTTTTTTTTTTTTTATAAACTCTGCGAAGAGCGTTCCACGATCGATCGAATGCACGACGCGTTCGTCACACGCACGAGGAACGACGCAATACAATGAGCGCATTGCACCGCGGCTCGCTGCGAACTGCACGGTTTTGCACGGACGAATCCGTAAGAATGTTGCATTCGTCTCATGGAGGGAATTGCGCACACTAGTATCACGCTGCACGTGTTTGTATTATACACACACACAGACACGTATATATATATAACGTATATAGAACGATGTGCAAGGACGGCGGAGATTCGCATGCATGCCGACTGACTCTGCGCGAGTGGCACGACTCACGCCGCGCGATTGGACGAAACAGGGGTAGGGGCGGGGCAATCGACGCCCGGTGCACTTCGGCTGCAGTCGCACACGTGCACCGGCTCGCGAATCGTGCAGCCGGCTGCATATGTGTATGCATGAGGTCGACAGGTGAGAGCATGTTTGCGCGTTAAGGAGTGATGGCGCCGCTTTGATCAGACATGGAGGCGCACGAGGTTTCCAACACACGTGAGATGCGATTGTTTTTCGTAGCGATACGAAAATTTTCGTATCTTTTTATTAACTGATAAACGAAGAAAACGAAGTTACTGTTCGAAATATCGTGTTGTCACTGCAATCGTACGATATCGATATGAGTGGGTCGATGGAAATCGGATTAAGCGATTCGTTATTTTCGAGGTGGGTAGCGAAAACTTTTTGTTGAAAAGAATCGGATTATTAAGAAACGTTGTGCAGGTTTGTTTTTACGATCGCGTATCGTTTTGCAAAAGTTTTTCCTTTTTTCGTGTTTATACCGTGATAATTGTAAGAATTGAAAGAACTTACCCTCGCAGAATAGGGTGACATCGGTAAGACTCTCGCTTTTGAACAAATTTGAGAATGCTGTCGCTAAATTGCTACCGAAACTATTCCACTTGAGACAAAACTGTTGCTGGTGAGAGTCCATGATGCCACCCCTAGGCTCGACCCCGTGACCTTCGCCACCCCTGTCTCTGCCACCTTCAAGTAGGTATTTTCCTTCTTGATCGCGCTCGTGCCCAACAGTTCTTTCAGCTGTAGTACAGAAAGCAATGTTTCTTTACAAACTATCCTTCGAAAATTCGTGCGTATAAAAACGACAAATATAAAAACACTAAAACAAAATATATAACGACATCTAAATTTTAAAATATAACCGTATATCGACTAAAAAAAATTTTATCGAATACGTGTCCACAAGTGTATTATTCGTAAGTACAAATCATCGAAATATTAAGTGTCACAATACCAAAATATACATATATATATATATATACATACAACATTCGTCAGAAAAAAATCGTGCCGTTAATGAATTTATTATTAATCCATCACCCATAATCAATCATTAGAGCAACGAATCATTTAAAAATCGATATATCGAATAAATCTTGTTTCCGAATCACAATGGAACTGGATTTCCGTGGTACGAGCGATAAAAACTCGAGCAAAACCTACCAATGCTTAGAACCGTATTACCATCCGCTCGAATCAACCTCAACACCGATACATCGGTGATAATCGCGCACCATCCGTGACAAACAATTGTACACGATTCGGATCACACTTCAGGGTCACACAGGATGCACGTTTGTTTGATTCTTTCTTATCGTTCGAATTCACTAAACAGAGTAGTATAGTCTCCGCACCGGTCTCACCGCGTACACGTGTCCACGCGGCACATGATCCTCCGCGAGAGTGGTCCTCGATCGCACTGACGTTGCCTGTTGGTGTTCGAGCCACGAATAACCGTACGAGGAACGAATGAGAATAGAAGAGGAACGGATTGAAGACGCGTGGTACCTTCTACCGGTAATGTATCTGAACACTGGCCGCGTACACACTGAGGAATAGAGTCTATCACGGTAGTCTTACCCGGCCGAAATCGAGTCACCGACTTGCATCGCGCATCGGATCGCGCGTAACTCTGTCCGCCCTCTCTTTCTCTCTTTGACGATGGCGTACGCTCTCGCTATCTTTGTCTCCGTTGCTCTTGCGCGCGTCCTCGTTCTTCGTTTTCCGTTCTGCTCACAGCGAGCGACAGAGATGACGGTGACAACGACGGTGAGGATGGTATATGCGCGCGAAAGAATGATCGGTTGATCGACTATACGAGGAGAGAAAGGAGTTCTGGTGACAGAAAAGAGAAGAGGAATCGATGGCGGTATCGCTGCGTGGAGGAAGAACGTGAATATGGGTCATCGGTGCCGATGCAAATGCGGTTAGACGAAATAGTGTGAGTTCGGTGTACTTTCGGGGGACCGGGTGGCGGTAGTACGGTGGAAGAAGAGGGAAGGTCGCGTAGGTGGGAGGAGGGGAATCGTTGGTGGCGAAGGAAGAACTGGGTAGGGGAGAGGGGAGTATAAGACTCGACTTTTACGAGGTGGGGCGAGATTGCTTAAGGCTAGAAGTTTAGTTCGCGTAGCGCTCTGTACCCCCTCTTCTATGTCACTACTAATTTCTATCTCTTTCTATTCTCGGCCTGGCTCCTTCTCCTCCCCATTGCTCTTTGTCTTTGTCCTTTTCGTCTAGTTTCGTCTCTTCCTTGTCATTTTGTCTCTTTGTCATTCCTTCACGATATATTCCATCCCCTTCTCTAACGCTTCTAAGGTATCGCGCATCCCCGCCACTTTCTAATCTAACACGTGTCAGGGCCGAAACGCGAAAACGTGGCGCCACTTGGCAAAAACGATTCAAGTGGAAGGGATCACGATTGCACGCTTTGGCTTCGTTACTACAGATCACACGATTACGTCACTGCCAATCGGAAAGTTTAATCGGCCGTGGATTATGCAGAACTGACTGAGAATGCATCGTTGAGTCTTTCAATTTTTACCGATTACTTTGGATAGGGATTGGCATCGATTCGAATTTTTTGGATATGAATATGATATTGATTTGAAACAATTGTAAAATATAATATTATGAAAATATATTAAAAAAGTTTAAAACAAAAGTTTTCTAATACTTCATATATAAATAATATAGATAAAATTGTATAATTTAACTTTCTAATTTATTTTTATATACACTATTGCTATGTTAATTTTCAAGTTTCAAATGATTTTATTCTATTTCTCTCATGCATTTCTAAATGTCAAAATGTTTATATGAAATAGTTTACATTTGTCAAAGTTTACATGAGTCAAAAAATTAGCCAAATAATTAGAACTATTAATTTCTAAATTGAACAAATAATAATTCTTGATTTCTCTTATTTGAAACTTTCTATTAACACCATTCTATTTCCGATAATCGCAGATTTTCCAACTTCAAAATATAAAAAAATTTAATAACATCTTTGCTAAACATTTATCACAAAAATTATCTATCTCTAAAAACTTCTGTTGAATAGTCCATTAGAAGCTATGAAACTATCACGTTACTCAGCAAATTTTGGTTGTTTACAAAAATGAATCGTAACGAATTTAATTTTCACGCTTTCATATCTTAATCGCACAGACTTTTTACTTCAAATTCCTTTTAACGAATTATCACAAAGTCAGATTCGAGAAAACTATGAAAAACTGTCCATTAATATAAAAAATGCTCAAACTCAAAGTATTAAGGAATATTTGTCTTAGGTTATGCCGAAACTTGAAAGACAAACATAAGTGACTACATAAAGAGTTCGATGACAAGTAAACGATGTTCTTGAACGCACACGTGTGCCACGCCTTATGTAACGCGACTGATTTCGACCTTAAGAAAGAATCATGAAAGAGAAGCGTCAAAAGTATTCATAGAAAGTATTCACAGTTATAAAAATTGCAGTTACGCCCTGTAATAAGTTGTGTCTGTTGCTTTGAAATATATAGGCGCGTGTTCGAGTGAGGTCATGGAGAGAATTTACGAGCAGTTGAGTGAATCGGAACGAAATGACCAACTCGCGTCACTTTCCATATTGACAATAACCCTTTCTGGTTAGTTGCGCGAAAATTACAAATCATGTTCGTTCTAAATAGTTTCATTGTTTGATGATATTTTTTTATTTTAGGTTTTCTTTTTACGCCAAATTTTTTAATATGACAAGGTATATATAATTGATTATGAAAATATCATTATGTAAATAATTCATAGCATTCTATTTTATTTTTAAATTATTAGAATAAGACAATAAAAATCAGATTATATTTCTAAAAATTTTTTAATTTTAATATCAAAATACGTGATTAATAAAATATATCTGCATAAAGTTTATTTCCATGTATATATATGTATGTGTATCTTAAATATTTATTAAAAGTAGATTTCAAGTTCTCTTTTTTATCAATATAGGATTTTTAATAAAATATCAAATAGCTATAAAACGAAAGAATATTTTTATAATCAAAAATATAAACAAGAAAATATAGATTAGATTTATTAAAACTCATATTTATATTATGAAGGAACGTTTAAGTAGAACGTACCCCGTATTGCTCAGACGAGAGTAGAACTGAACATTCGCAAGCAATACGTTTATAAGAAATTTCATATCGAGATTTTAAATATAAAATACAACTAATATGTTGATTCTCACATAAATCAACATGTGAAAATAAATCATACATGATTAACTTCCGGACTACCATCTAAAGAAACAACGAAAAGTTATAAAGTATATCAAAGATTCTAATCTAAAACTATTTATCACGCGATTCAAGGAAAATTTACGAATTCCACGTTCAGAGATGACACCATCGTAGAACATTGTTGAGTACGTTCCTGGTCCGCCAAAATTTAGTGTGCACTCCCTGCTACGGTATTGCGTGCGTGCGTGCAAGAGACGAGCTTCGTGAGGGGACAGAAGAGTAAAGGGGAAAGAGCGTAGGAGTTGTGGGGAAATGAGAGAGAAAAAGATCTGAGAGAGAGGGACGTAACAGCAAAGAGTAATGAAAGGGAGGGGTATGAAAACGAATAGGGAAAGGACGAAAGAGAAGGTAAATGGAAATTTAGTTGTTCAAGTATCGTTGCATGGCGCTTAGCAATGGTTTTTCCTACGAATTTACAAATAATTTCATTATTATGTAGAAAATTTTCTTAATTTAAATAATAATGAAATAAACATATTGGTTTTGATAATATAGATTTGAGTAAATCATATTCATCATCTGAAATACTTGTCGAAATCAATGTTTTGGATATCGACATAAATAAAAAGTAAAATCAGCTATCAAAATCTTATTATATCACAATTGCAATATTTTTTTTTATAAAAAGTAAATCGGTATTTCAATCATACTTTTTTTAATTTAAGCTACATTCGATCGAAATCCAAATCTCACGAAGCCATCTCTAGAAAGAACTCTGCTCCTATAACATACATACCTAACTCTCTCTCCGACGTAACCCAAAAATTCAACATTCACGGTCAATCAATTCCGAACGCGTCTCGAGTCCATCGCTGACTGCGTGGCGCTTGGAGCAAAGGAAAGCGAAAGGGAGGGGGAGGGAAAGAGCGCGGCAGAGAAAGACAGAGAGAGCAATTGCGGCAGCGGTGATAGGGGAGGGAGATATTGCGCATGGGACGAGAGGAGAGCAGAGAAGTGGGGAGGGGCTCGCGGGAGGATCGAGGAGGCTCAAGGTCGCTGAGGGGCCGCACGCGCGCCCCTGGCCACGCACACACGCAATACGCGCACGCATACGCTTGCCCGGCGCGCTGCACACGGGCGTGTGCACACGGAGTGGCGGGGATGAGTACGCGCTGCAGCGCACACGCAGTCTGCGCGGCGCACGCGCACTATCACGGCGCGAGTTCCGCGGCCGCTGATTTCACGCTAGCATTGTGTATATATATATATGCCGTGTATATACACTTATACATATATATATATATATGTATGTATATACTGGGCAAACAATTCACTGGACTCTTATGGCGACACGTATTATGTCACCAGAGAATTTCTAAGGAGAAAACATCGATGCACTATGTACGAATTTTTTTTCTCTTTTGGCAATCGATCTATAGATAATATTTTAAAAAGAATATCTTGAAACATGGGGAAAAAAAATAGTTGACGATTTTTGGATAATATCAGTACTTAATTAGC